CCCCAAAACCCCAAAACCCCAAAACCCCAAAACCCCGTTCCGATATAACGGAATTGGAAGTATCATTTTATCAGAAAGCGACCTTAATTCACGGTCGACCTTATAAGAGAATTAAATTAATTTTTTAAAAGATGCCTTTGTGGCTCTGAAGCAATTCTGAATAGATCGGACCGATGCTAGTCGAAAGGTTATTGGATGATTCCACGAGTAACTTTTTCATTTGGGTATTAAAGTTCTCCTGGTCAACATCCTCCTGTTCATAGCAAGCACTCTTGCCATTGATCAGGTAGAAATGAGTATATAAGTAACTATTGGAGGAATTCTTCAAGAAAACCTTCATTTTCTTTTGAGTGTACTTTGCGAGTAGATCCTTAAAAGGGTTGAAATCGATTCCTTGGATCATTGGCTCCTTCTTATTGGATCTGTCGGATAGAGCCACTCACTTCAAGACTGCCACTAGATTTTCGAATTCCTCTGCATTAATTACAGGAAGAATGCTGGAGAACTCTTTTTGAGCATATTCTGACATGATATGATTGAGCTCATTAGGTGACATTTTCTTGACTCTTTTCTTGTAGTTGAAGCTCTTGGCGAAGTCCTCAAATTTTTCTTTGTAGTATTTTCTCATAAGCCTGAAGCCCTTTCTTTGGAGGAGGTATCCAAACTCAGTTAGCTTCTTCTTTGAAGCTTTTGCTTCTTTATTTTCTGCCTTATTAGCAGATTCTTCGTTTGTAACTATAGTTGACATTTTGCAAGTGGTTTTATCCATTTTTGAATAGGTTTCAGACTTGACAATATCACATTCAGATAAAATTCAAAGAGCTTGATCAATTTCAACATTAGGGAGTCAAATCTCTGGAAGAGGATCCTTCTTGAGCTGTTCTTGCAAAGTATCAGCTGGATTAAAACTTTCATCTTCAAAAGGATCTTCAAAAATTCTGAAATTGTCAAATCCATCTTCTCTCAGTTTGTACTCAGAAATTTTGTCAAGACTTTCAATATCGATGTCACCAAGGTTACTGTCATCTCCTCTTCAGTTAAGATCGAAGTATGCTCTGGCATCAAACTTAGCGAGCATACCAGTTTCGGTCAAAAACTTGATAGCTTGTTCATCATTGTTCTCATTTCCATCAGAGGTTGAGTAAGTCTCGTTTGTGGGCATGTCCTCCATAAATTCTGACCCACAGTCACAATCGCAATCCTCCTCCTGTTGTTGGGTTTGTTCAATATTTTCAGTAGTATTGGGCCTAATTTCCCTTTGGTACTCGTCGTATGACATTCTATCATCATCGTCGAACATGCTAAGCCTGATTTCAGACTCGCCTGTGACGATTTTGTCTTCATTCTGACTCATTTTAAGTTAATTATTATAAATTTACATTTCACTTATTTATATGTAAAATGGGGTTTTGGGGTTTTGGGGTTTTGGGGTTTTGGGGTTTTGGGG